ACTGGAGCACAGAACGAAGCACATTGCTCTGCGCTACTTCCTTGCTCGAGAGTTGCAGCAGCGTGGTCAGCTTCGTCTTGCTTACGTGGCCACTCGGGCCAACACTGCTGATATCTTTACCAAGGCACTTCAGCCTTGTGATCATCAGCGCTTTTGTACTATGCTAGGTCTTGTGCCTACTTGGCCTCACTTGCTCATGTCTTGACTTTGCTTGTACTGTGATCTATATATAGCTGCACCTGCATGCTTACCTTTGCTAGGTGGAGATCACTGTCTTGCTTGTTCACCTTGATATATAACTCTGCATGTGAACTGGCCTTGTGGCCTTGTGCTTGTGCTCAGAATGCGTGGTGACGTCGTGATCCACCCTGAGCTTGCCTTCTTTTGCTTTACTGGTCTTGTGACCTCTTGTTCTCCCCCACTTTGCCTATGGGGGTGTGTCAAACATATATGATATAGCCTGTGTAGGCTGTAGTGGGGTAGACATTATGGGGTACATCATTTCTAGGTTTTCATACTTGTACCCATCTCCTTTCTAGTCCACACCATTCCTCGTAAATTCTTCACAAGCCCAAGATATTCACATGTGACGAGTGCAATTGAGTGAGCGAGCAAGAGTTGCACTATCGAAGCAAGAGTACAATGCGCGAAGGCATGAGTGAAGAATATATAGCGAAACTACAGTGGTAACGGTAATGTGTGGAAAATGGGGTGCGCGACGGGCCTAGCGCCGAGGTTGGGAAATGTCGAGGCGAATGTCCGAAGCGCGGGTTACCAACCGAACCGTGAGGTTGGGTCGCGTCGTGAACAGTGGCGAAAACAGTGTCGAGGCGAGTGTCACGAGTGGTAACAAATTACTGTTGGGTGCTATTGGCGGGAACAGTGGTGTACGCGCTAAGCAGGAACGCGAAGTAAGGAAGAGGAATTTTCCTTACACTTCCCCTCCCCCCTAAGGAGGCCCTCCTTACGAAAGCGCGTGTACATCCCGGAAATTTCGGCTGCGCAGGTACTCGGTGAGGACGGGGTGGTTCTCAACTCTATCCAGGGGAATCCAGTTGTCTTCAGAGAGCGTGCGGTCTTTCCAGCGGATCAGAAATTCGATCCTTCGGGCTCCCGGTGGGTCGCGAACTCGGTGGCTCAGGATTTTTTCGGGCGTGATGATTGGTTCCGTCGTCGGTCGTGTCATGCTGATTGGCCGGTTGTGGGGCAGTTGGCTGGTGGATGGCACGTAAGGGTGAAGCAGGCTGACGTGTAATGACGGGTTAACGGGTGGAGGAGGGAGGAGGAGGTGGGCGGCGACGGGTGTGATCATGTGGCTGATGCGGAATGGCCCACAATATTGGGGGCGGAGTTTTGGGGTGATTGGCAGGCAAAAGTTTTGCGTGTCGAGTAGTACGAGGTCGTCGGGCTGGTAAGTGACTGGTCGGCGGTGGCGGTCGGCGTTGCGCTAAGCGATGATGTTTGATTTTTCTATAGCGTCTGCTTCTCGGGTCCGTGCTGCTTGTAAAATGGGTACTGTGGGGTCTTGTCCGTAGTTCAGATAAAACGGTGACTGTTGGGTCGTGGCGGATGGCGAGTTGTTGTATGCGAATTCGATGAGTGGCAGTTGCTGTTCCCAGATGGTCGGGTCGTCGCACGTGCCTCGGATGAGTTGTTCCATGGTCTGGTTTGTCCGTTCCGTCTGTCCGTCGGTCTCGGGGTGGTACAAAGAACTAAACTGTAGTCGCGTGCCGAACTGCTGCCACAGGTTCCGCCAGAAGCTGCTGGTGAATTTCGTGTCGCGGTCGCTGATGATCGCTGCTGGTATCCTGTGCAGTCAAACGACGGTGGAGATGAAGACATGGGCTGTATCTTCGGCAGTGATCGAATTTTTGCAACCTACGAAATGTGCCATTTTCGTCAGCCGATCGACGACGGCCAGGATCGCGTCGTTTCCACTTGCTCCGGCTGGTAACCCCGTGACAAAGTCCATTGTCACCTGCTGCCAAGCACGCTCTGGGGGTGGTATCGGCTGCAACTATCCTGCCGGCCGCTTCCGTGATGACTTCATGAGCTGGCAGGTGGGACACGATGCCACGTGTCGCTGTATGTCGGTCAGCATTTCAGGCCAGTAATAATACCGCTGCAGCTACTCACGTGTTTTTTCTACTCCGAAATGGCCTGAGGTGACTCCGTCGTGTGCCTCCTGTAGCAGTAATTCCCGTAGTAGTGTGTACCCTGGTACCCAGGTGCGGTCAGTACCGGTTTTTACGTAATATACTCCCTTTGCTGCTGCGAACTGCTGCGAATTTCCTCTTGTGAAGAAGGGGTCTGTTTGGTATCTGTGGGTAAACAGTCCAGTTAGTAGTGGGCTGGTCTGGGCAAGTAGTATTCCGTGGATTTGGGGAGTAGGGCGGGTAAGTGCGTCAGCGATGTTGGATGCCCCCTTTTTGTAGGTGACCGTGTAGTGAAAATTGGACTCGAGGAAATCGAGCCAGCGAATCTGTCGTGGGTTGAGGTGGGGCTGTGAGCGGAGGTACTGTAGCGATTTATGGTCTGTCCGTATTGTCACGTCTGCGCCGATCAAGTAACAGTGCCACCCTTTGAATGCGTGCACGATCGCGAGCATTTCGCAGTCGTGTATCGGGTAATTTTTCTCGGGTGGATGCAATTTGCGGGACTCGTGGGCCCTTCCTCTTGCGACGGTGGCTCGTAGGCGCGTGGCGACGTCACGATGACTCGCCACCAGTCCATGGCGGGGCCCCTCAGCAGCGAGACGGCATATCAGTTCTTCGCTGCGTCCGAATCGACGTAGTTCGCATCGAAAAAGACGTTCATCGTGAAGACCCACGAGTGAACCGTCGGACCTCCACGCTGGCTTGGTCGAAACAGGGCGGGCGCTGTGGCTTGAGTGGCATTGGTGCCATGATGGCATGGTCGCCACTTGTCGCCGCAAACTCCACGTGCCGACGGGCTTCGCGAGGCTCCCGCGGGCTTGACGCGGTCCTGTTCCTCTCCATGCCAAGCATCGATTGAGCGGGGCCATCAATGGCTGCGCCTGAGCGCTGTCCCACGCTTTCGTTTTGTGTCGGAGTGCCTGATGAAATGACGATCGGCTCCTCTGATTGTGCTGGTGCATTTTCAAATGCGTGTGGTGGCGCTGGAGCATTCAATGTGAATTGCTGACGAGCGGAGTCGCGTTCCGCCGTGAATGTCGCAATTTCGAGCGCCGAGTCTTCGATTTGGCGCACGAGACGGTCGAGTTGCTCCTGCGTCAGTGTCAGGATAGTGAATTCGTCCATGGCGGGGGTGTCGGGCAAGCTGAGCGAGAGCCTCTGTCGTGGCCGTGCGTGCTTACGAGAGAGCACTACGAGCGGCGGTGCTGGTTTCGCTGAGAGACGTCTACCCCCCCCCAAAAAAATTCAGATAGTGGGGAAGCGAAGGTGTGGGTGCGGTCCAAGAAGAGATCGTAGGCTCCGAATACCAAGTGTTACGAGTTCAATTGAGTGAGCGAGCAAGAGTTGCACAATCGAAGCAAGAGTACAATAATTGAAGGCATGAGCGAAAAATATATAGTGAAACTACTGTGGTAACGGTAATGTGTGGAAAATGGGCTGCGCGACGGGCCTAGCGCCAAGGTTGGGAAATGTCGAGGCGGAGGTCCGGAGCGCGGGTTACCAACCGAACCGTGAGGTTGGGTCGCGTCGTGAACAGTGGCGGGAACAGTGTCGAGGCGAGTGTCGCGAGTGGTAACTGATTACTGTTGGGTGCTGTTGGCGGGAACAGTGGTGTACGCGCTGAGCAGGGAGGCGAAGTAAGGAAAAGATTTTTCCTTACATCACACAAAAACCTACTTGTCTATTTTCATATTATATTCCAAACGATTCTTTCCTTCTCAAGCAAAAATGGCTTTCACTCGTTTTAACATCGCACTAATTTATAAGGAGGTCCTTGTTGAGTCAACGCCAATAGCGGGCTGGCATTTCTGTCGCTTTCCCGATTCCAGACAAATTCTGTGGTTGCCTCAGGCTAGCAACGATTGCGCCAGGTTGCTGGCTCAGGATATCAGGGCGCTTTACCCTGTCCTCCTTGAACTTCAGGGTGAAGTCTCGGACCTAACCTGCTATGATTGGGTTTGGCTGTGCGTCCACCCGGTCGTCGTCAGGCAGGGCTAAAACAACGCCCTGCAAAAGAGTTTTACGCTTGTTCGCAACATCACCGTGTCCCAGCTCGTTACGGCAGGCACCCTGCCAAATTTTTCCTTGGTGAGAATTTCGTTCATTCGTGGCTTTCCTCTAAGCCGAAACGTGTGCGCAGTGTCGTTTGTGACTGAATTTTACAGAATTGGCGAGTACTTGACACACCAGAGATTCAGCTCTAGCACAGAGAGTTGCGTGTTATCGCAGTGACCGTACCTAGAAGACCCACCGTCGAACTTAACCAGCACAATTCACAATTCCCCACCTCACACCACAAGAACAACAGGTCCACGCAGTTAGGCATGATGACGGGTTGTGGCGATGACCTCTGTCGATTGAGGTACTTATCATTCGAATCGTGCCAGACCCAGTTCGAGCACATGATCTGGCTCCTGGGAATAACAATGGTAGGATCGACAGCGGGACCCAGATTTTTTTAGCTAGGCAGTTTTTTTTCGGATTTTCCACATTGCTAGATCCGAACTCGGAAAACAATCACACTGCCATTTCTTGGGTACGACTGCCAAGGCACACTGCAGTGGCAGGGTATAGTGGGTCCCAACTCGGATCAGGCAGCGTACCCTTAAACGAATCGAGAACGCTTTGCTGTGCTGAGGCGACAGCTAGCTGCGTGGAAATTAGGTTTAGTTAGACTGTTCCGTACCGCTACATGAAGTGTAAATTCAGCTAGTAGCGACGCTCGAGGCGTGCCATCATTAGGGTTTCGATCTCTTTCATCTCATTGCGTTCATTCCCTCTTCTCGTCCGTAACCTTCGTGTAGCCCTCCTTTCGCGCGTGTATCCTTCGAACGTACCGCTCGCATGTGTCGCCCACACGTCGCACGGTGTCGCCGGGAGCGCGAGCCACATCGCACCGCGAGGGTATCTTGCGTGCTGCTCCTGCTGGCGCTCGTTTCAGCCTGTCCGCAGAATGCGGCGTCTATCGCGGCCAGCATGCCACCTGGCGCCGCCACCCCAATGGAGCAGCAAGCAGAGCGTGAGATTCCCTCCACTTTCGCTTACGAGCGCTCTCCGCACCCTCCCCGCTCTTCCCGCTATCCCGCCCTCCTCGCCCTCTCCTCTATCCTCGCTCTCCCCGCTACCCCCTCCGTCCCTGTTATCCCCGTTCTTCCTCTTCCTTGCTCTCTTCTCTCTTCGAATCCTCCTCTCATCCCCCCACGGCCTTCCCCCATACTGCCCGCGCCCCCCGCCCCCCCTTCGTTCCCCCGTCCCCAGTTCCTTCCCCCCTCTTTCTGGTGCGCGCGCACAGACGCAGCGCCACTGGCGTTCTGGGAGGCGATGGGGCTGTGGCGAGCGGGGTTTGCGCCGCACCATCCTCCTCCCCCACTGCCTAACCTCCCCTACCCTTCTCCTCCTCGCACACAGGCGATGCGCTGTTAGCGTTCTGGGAGGCGATGGGGCGCAGCGAGGGGCTGAGGGCGAGCGGGTGGGCGCCTATCCTTCTCCTCCCTTCCCTTACACCGCCTGTCCCTGCACCCCCCTTCCTTCTCCCCGCCCCCGCACAGGCGCAGCGCTGCTGGCGTTTTGGGAGGCGACGAGGCGAAGCGAGGGGCTGCGGGAAAGCGGGCGAGCGCCTAACCATCTCCCCACTGCCTTCCGCTACCGCCCGTCCCTGTCCAATCCCCCGTTCCTCCCCCCCATTCCCCGTTTCCCCCTGCAGACGCAGCGCTGCTGGCGTTCTGGGAGGCGATGGGGCTGAGGGCGAGTGGGTGGGCCCCCCTCGGCCCTCCCCAGTGCCTTTCCCTGTATAAATCCCAACCCCCCCTTCCCCTGTATATATCCCAACCCCCCCTTCCCCTGTATATATCCCACCCCCCCCTTCCCTTGTATATATCCCACCCCCCCCTTCCCCTGTAAATATCCCACCCCCCCCTTCCCCTGTATATATCCCAGCCCCCCCTTCCCCTGTATATATCCCACCCCCCCCTTCCCCTGTATATATCCCACCCCCCCCTTCCCCTGTATATATCCCAACCCCCCCTTCCCCTGTATATATCCCACCCCCCCCTTCCCCTGTATATATCCCACCCCCCCCTTCCCCTGTATATATCCCTCCCACCCCATCCCCCTTTCAGGAGCGGCGCTGCTGGCGTTCTGGGAGGCGATGGGGCGCAGCGAGGGGCTGCGGGCGAGCGGGTGGGGCAACACGTCGCTCCCGTGTGACCCGCGCAGGCCGCCGTGGGGGGGCGTGCACTGCAGCCCCACAGGCCACGTGGACGGCATGTGAGTGACATGTATAGCATGCATGGCATGGCTTGGGGGGGCGTGCACTGCAGCCCCACAGGGCACGTGGACGGCATGTGAGTGGCGACGACGTGCCACGCCATGCCATCCCATGGCACCCCACGGCAACCCACGCCACCCCATGCCACCCCATGCCACCCCATTCCACGCCGTGCCATGCATGTCATGTCATACTTCTTCCCACTGTCACCCCCTCCGCCACGCCACCCCACACCACCCCACGCCATACCATGCCATGCCACCACCACACGCCAATTTCCATTCTCCATGCATCCTGTTGCATGCAGCGAGCTGCCATGCAAGGGAGCGGAGTCACCCCAGGGGCAGCAGCTGCATGGGAGGGGACAGGTCCAGTGGGCGAGCATGCTTGTCACTCTTTCTCTCCTTTCTGCATGCATGCTCTTCTCTCTTCCCTTCCCACCACCACCCCCCCCACGCCCTTCCCTTCCCACCACCACCCCCCCCACGCCCTTCCCTTCCCACCACCACCCCCCCCACGCCCTTCCCTTCCCACCACCACCCCCTCCACGCCCTTCCCTTCCCACCACCACCCCCCCCACGCCCTTCCCTTCCCACCACCACCCCCCCCACGCCCTTCCCTTCCCACCACCACCCCCCCCACGCCCTTCCCTTCCCACCAGCAGTGAGTTGCCGTTTAAGGGGCCGGAGTCACCTCAGGGGAAGCAGCTGCAGGGGCAGGTGCCTTGAGTGGGCATGCTTGTCATTCGTCTTTTTCTGTCCTCGTTCCAACTCTTCTCTTCCCACCACCAGCGAGCTGCCATACAAGGGACCGGAGTCACCTCAGGGGAAGGAGCTGCAGGGGCAGGTGCCGTGGGCGTCCATGACAGCCCTCTCACGCCTCACAATGCTCGACCTCAGCTTCAACCAGGCCTCGGGACCTCCTGTCACCCCTGCTGTTGCCGCCTTCACTGCCCTGCAAGCCCTGTGAGTCTTGAATGTGAGAATCCCATAGTTGGGATGATAGGTGAACTCAAGAGTTGGTTTGATTAGAAAGATGGTGGGTACATATAAGAGATGAGAAGTGGGAGACCTAGGTTGGGTACCCGCAACATTATTGGTTAGCCAATGGGAGTAGCCACCAATAATGTTTTGGAGGTGGCTGCCAATTATTGGGGGGCCTGGTTCCCCCCGCCAATTGTGGCAGAGTGGGGTTGGGACGCGCCCAACCAAAACTGGTTGGGGCGCCTTGGCCCAAACCCATGTTTGGGTGTTACACTTGCACATTTACAACCCAACTGATGCTATAATCTAACATTGAAACGGCTCAAGACTCGGACATTGACCCCAGCAGCGCCTCTGGGTTCTAGCTCAAGCCCTCTTTTCTCTCCTGCTCTCACCTCCCTGCAAAGCATCTATTGTGCAACCAGCTACCACACCCCGTCCCTTCTGCTCGTCGTCGTCCCCCATTCCCCTTTCTCCATCGCCTCACATCCATCTCCTGTAAAATAGGCTCTCGGTTTCCGTGTAACGCCTGTGGGCTAAGTGTTAATGGGCATTCCGCTGCGCCAAATAACACCCTCGTTTTGACCCAGTGGGTAGCGAGGTGTTATACTGGACTCAGAGCCTGGGGTTCAAATCCTGGCTGATCCACATTTACCGCCTGTGGCGAGAACTTGAATGTGGTTACAAGATTGGACCCAGCAAACGATCCTCCGCTGGCCTGACCTCACCAGCGAAGTTGCTGCTTGGAGCACAGCGAACAGGTCCCTGCGGGGGCCGACTCCCTGAAGTTCGTCAACGAGGACGTTGACACCAGGGGGGGACGAGTGTAACGCCTGTGGGCTAAGTGTTAATGGGCATTCCGCTGCGCCAAATAACACCCTCGTTTTGACCCAGTGGGTAGCGAGGTGTTATATTCCGTCCCTGCTGTTCTCGCCTCCCTGCACTCTTCTCCCCCTCCCAACCCCCATGCTCCTCCAATTCCTCCTCTCCCATTCCTCTACTCCACTTTCTCGATCCCAACTCCCCGTTCCCCATGCCCCCATCGCCCCCCACAGCCAGCTGCAGTACAACAAGCTCACCGGCCCCGTCCCTGCTGTAATCGGCTCCCTGCCCGCGCTGCAGATTCTGTGAGTCCCAATCAAATGCCCCCCTGCGCATGTGCGCATGCACTGTGAACCCCTTAAACCCGCGCTGCAGATACTGTGAGTCTTAGTTGAACACCCCTTCCGACATGTGCCTAGGCACTGTGAACCCCCTAAGTCAGCGCTGCAGATACTGTGAGTCCCAATGGAATGAACCCCTGGACATGTGTGTAAGCTCTATGAACCCCCTAAACCCTCGCTGCAGATACTATGAGTCTATGTTGCGCCTGACGCGTCAGGCGTTTTTTACGCTGGCGTGTGGACGGGGCGTCCAGACGCTTGACGCCCGGTGTCCTCTGCCCTGGACGCCCGCTTGACGCTGGTCCGGGCAGGGCAAAACTTTTCCCGGGCAGGGGTAAAAAAAACCTGCCTAGTAAGGATATGCAGGGGTTAGAATGCAAGAAATTCACTTTTGTCACCTTAAGTTATAAATACTCCATACTTGCGTTCTCCTTCCACACCACCTGCAGAAGGTGTGGAGCCACTACCAGATTGACCAGCGGAACTAGGAGTTGACATGATAACTTAATTGCCTTAACCTAATTTTAGCTAAGAAGGCTTAGTAACGTGACTGGCGGATTCTAGTGTAGGGTATGCTTGGCAATGTCGAGAGAAACAGATCTGTGAAGTGTCGACCTAAATCTGGTTCTCTAGTTTAGTTGGGGGTCGTCCTGGTTGGGAGTAGTAGATTGGGATGGGTAGAAATGTGTGGGGGGGAATAAATGTGGGTTGCGTTTTTCTAGGTAAAAAACGCAACCCCCGCTTGCCAATTTCATCGCAATTCTGGTCGCGATGATATCGCGCGTCAATTGCGTGCGGGATTTTTTTTTATTTTTTCGGGCTGCCCAAAAATTGTTTTCCCGAACGTCCAGCGTCAAACTGATTTGACGTGTCCAGCGTCCGGACGGTCACAGCCGGACGCTGGACGCTGCCCTTTCAAGGCGTCAGGCGCAACATAGCTATGAGTCTTAGTTAGGAGCCCCCTCCCACATGCTTAGGCACTGCACTGTGAACCCTCGACACCTCGCTGCAGATTCTGTGAGTCCCAACTCAGTCCCCCTGCATGTGTAGATTCTGTGAGTCATCCCGGAAGACAGCCGTGTGATGTGATGCACTGTGGTGTGATGTGATGCACTGTGGTGTGATGTGATGCACCGTGGTGTGATGTGATGCACTGTGGTGTGATGTGATGCACTGCGGTGTGATGTGATGCACTGCGGTGTGATGTGATGCACTGCGGTGTGATGTGGTGCACTGTGGTGTGATGTGATGCAGTGTGGTGCCAGCCAACCTCCCTCCTGCCCAAACTCCCCCCTGCCCAACCTCCCTCCTCCCCAACCTCCCTCCTGCCCGCCCCTGTGCGCCCACCCCTGTGTGTGTCCCCGCACCTGTCCCCATCCCTGCAGCGAGCTGGGCTACAATCAACTCTCAGGCCCGCTGCCTTCCACCCTCGGCCTGCTGCCCTCTCTGCAAGCACTGTACGTGCTGCCACACACCTGCCACTGCAAGCACTGTATGTCCTCTCTGCCAGCTTCCAGGCAACTTCCAGGCAATTCCCAGGCAGTTCCCAGGCTGCTACCAGGCAGCTGTGTCAGGCACCTGTGAGCAGCTCACCACACATTTTTTTGTCTTGACGTTTTCACGTGCACAGTTACGAATGAAAGGAAATGTAATCTGCACATCCCTCCGCCTCTCTCCCTCTGTCCCTTTCCCCTTCTGATCACCTCCACCTTCTCATCACCTCCACCTTCTCATCACCTCCACCTTCTCATCACCTCCACCTTCTCATCACCTCCACCTTCTCATCGCCTCCACCTTCTCATCACCTCCACAGGACCTCGACTTACCCATATGGTTGACACCCGCCTCTTTCTCGCACCTCTCCTCCCCCTCTTCTCCCCTTTCAACCTTATCCCATTTGCCCACCCCTCCTTCCCACCTATCATCCCACCCACCCACCCATCCCTCCCTTCGCTCTCCAGCCGCATCCCATCCAGCAACATCACAGGTTCCCCACCGGCCTCTCTCCCGCGCCTCTTCTAGCCTCTTCCCCCAATTCAACCTTCTCCCACTCCCCCATCCCTCTCCTTCCACCCCCTCATCCCTTCCTTCCCCTCCTCATTCCTTACAGCCGCATCCCCTTCAGCAACATCACGGGGTCCCTGCCCGCCTCTCTCCTGCGCGTCTTTTCTTGCCTCTCTTCCCCATTCAACTCCCACTCCCCCATCCCTCTCTCCTCACCTCCTTATCTCTGCCCCCTCCTCCCTTCCCTCCTCCCCATCCCTTACAGCCGCATCCCATTCAGCAACATCACGGGGTCCCTGCCGGCCTCGCTCTCGCGCCTCTCAGCGCTGAGCTCACTGCGCCTCACACAGAACCTTCTCGCTGGCCCCCTCCCCGCCAACCTCTCAGCACTCACCGCACTAACTGAGCTGTGAGTGATCTTGCACTGCCAGCACTGCCAGCACTGCCAGCACTACCTGTCTCTCTCGCGCCTCTCCTTGCAGAGCTCGTTGCGACTCACACAGAACCTTCTCGCTGGCCCCCTCCCCCGCCAACCTCTCAGCACTCACCGCACTTACCGAACTGTGAGTGGCCTTGCTGCGGCTCACATATAGCCTTCTCTTTGGCCCCTTCCAACTTCTCAGCACTCACCGGACTCACTAATCTGTGAGTGCTTGCCTCTCTCTTGCGCCTATCCTTGCTGCTGCTCACGGCGAATATTCTCTTTGGCCCCCCTCCCCGCCAATATCCCACCACTCACCGCACTCACTGAGTTGTGAGTGCTCTCACCAGCACTGCCAGCACTGCCAGCACTGCCAGCAGCACTGTAGGAACTCTTAGTCCTGTCAATCTCTATTGTCCTGTCCACCCCTCTCGCCTTCCCCCACATCTCTCGCCTCCCCCCACCCCTCTCGCATCCCTCCACCCCTCTCGCCTCCCTTCATTATACAGCGTGTTCTCTCCGGTGTCCTTCTGAAGGCCGCGCCTTCTAAGGCTCTCGCGCTCTCTCTCCCTCCTCTGGCAGGAATTTGGCGAAGAATCAGTTGAACGGCTCTTTGCCTGCCTCGTGGGGTGCACTCACCTCACTTGCTGACCTGTGAGTGCCGTTGTGCGCGCGCGTGCGGGCGCGTGTGGATGTGTGTGTGTGTGTGTGTGTGTGTGTGTGAATGGGCCTGTGGGTGGGTGTGTGTGTTTGTGTGTGTGAGTGTGTGTGTGTGTGTGGGTGGGTGTGTGGAGATGGGTGAGTGTGGGGATGGGGAGGTGTGGGGATGGGGATCTGTGGGGATGGGGGTGTGTGGGTGGATGTGTGGGGATGGGTGTGTGTGTGGGGGGGAGGGGAGGAGGATGGGGGTGTGTGGGTGGGTGTGTGTGGATGGGTGTGTGGGTGTGTGTGTGTGTGTGTGTATGGGTCTGTGGTGTGTGTGTGTGTGTGTGTGTGTGCTTGTGTGTGTGTGATTGTATGTGTGTGTGAGTGTGTGAGTGTATGTGTGTGTGGGTGGGTGTGTGGGGATGGGTATGGGTAGTGTGTGTGTGTCCCACCTCCCCCCACATGCCCATGTCCTAACACCCCACGACGATGAGCAAGGGGCGAACACGATCGTGTTCGTGTTCGTCCCTGCACGAACACAGCCGTTTGCCGAACTGAACAGTGTTCGGTTCGGCGAACACTTTTAGCAAAAGCAGATGTTCGGTGTTCGCCTGTGAAGGCGTGTTCGGGCGAACCTCGAACACGTTTTTGTTCGACGCGGGGCAAACCTCGAACACGGTTGTCAAGAACACTTTAAGCTAAAAAAAATCACCTGTTCGGGTGTTGGTTCTTTTGCTCAACCCTACCCCACATGCCCTTGTCCCACCTCCCCCCACCCTATGTGGAGAAAGACGCGTCCAGCGTCCTGGACGCATGCGTCCAGACGCATGCGTCCAGACGCTGGACGCTAGTTTAGGGCCCCCGAGACGCAGCAAAAGACGCAGGTCCGGGCAGCCAAAAAAACCCCCCCGGGCAGCCAAAAAAAAAGTTATAGGGCAGAGGGAAGAGGGGGTAAGAGGGGGTGGGGGGGGGGGGGGGGGGGGAACACACTTTCATAGCAAAATTTCTCCTCAACAACAAAATTTCAGCCACAACAATAGAACATGAAGGTGAGCCCCAAATTTCCATAATCACAATTAGTCCAAGGGTTGTTTAGCATGCATGCATACTACCACTAACTAACATGCATCACTCATCCTCCTCGCTCTCCATCCCCTTCTCCTCCTCCTTCTCCAAATCCTCCTGCTCCTTGTACTCGTCGAAGGTGAGGTCATCCTCATCCACCTCCACCTCTCCATCCTCCTCAAGCTTGTACCCCTCGGGAAGGGGTCGGGGGGGAATGTTCCCCTCCACTATTCCCGCCTTCCTGACTTCCCCACTCGGCCCCGCACCCGCCGCACCCTTGTGGTGGTTGTGCACAACGTTCCAGTTGTGCGCAACGAACACAAGGTCGCGAACACAAGGAGCTAGCCATAACGGTGGTGCGCGGAAAGGAGCTAAAACCACTAGGGTTTTTGAAAGAGAATTGGGTTGTGAGAAAAGGGAGCACAAATGAGAGGTTTCATGAACTAAATGGGCTTTGTGGGGGTGGTGGACCACAAAGGTTGGGTTTCCTAGTTGTGGAGTGGTGGAGAGGGGTTGGATTTCCAAATCAATTTTGCAAAAAGGGGAGGGGGTTAGGGGTGAATTAGATGGCTGGTTTTGGGGGTCGAATTTGCTTGGGGGGTGTCGAATTTCGGCGAAATTGACATTCGCGACGAAATCGCGAATGTCAATTTCGCGATCGCGAAAAAAAAAAAAATCTCGGTCTGCCCGAAAATTTTTCCAGGGTGCGTCCTGCGTCTTTGCGTCCGGACGCTGCGTCCGGACGCAGGACGCAGGGCTGCCCCAGCGTCTTTCTCCACATAGCACCCACCCCACATGCCCTTGTCCCACCTCCCCCCACCCCACATGCCCTTGTCCCACCTCCCCCCACATGCCACATCCCAACACCCCAACGACCCTACCCACGTCTTCACAACTCCTCATCCCTCGTCCCCCCCCTGTCCCCTTCCCCAGCTCTCACCTTCAGCGGCAAACATCCCTTGCTTCCCCATGCCCACCCCCCCCGCCACCCCTGTCCATCCCCATCCCACCCTGCTCCCCCCTGCCCTCCCATGCTCCGCCCTGCTTCCTCATGCCCCCCTGTGCCACTGCTGCTGACCCCCATGCCCCCCCGCGCTCCCCCCCTGCCGCACCATCTTTCCTCCCTTGCCCCTCCCCCTTTTTCCCACCACCAGCAAGGTGTCAGTGAATGCTCTCAGCGCCACACTGCCAGCCTCGTGGAAAATTCTTGTCTCTCAGGCAGCTGGAGGAGCTTCCCTCCCTACCCCCTCCTTGGTCCCCCTCTCCTTTCCCCCTGCCCACCCTTGCCTCCCCTGCCTTGGTGTCAGTGAACCATCTCAGCGGCACGCTGCCAGCTTCATGGGGAAAGCTCTCGTCGCTCCAGCACCTGGACCTTCCCTAGCCCCCTTTTCCAATCTGCCCAACCCCCTCCCCACCCCCCTTTGCCTTCCTCCCTGCCCTGCGTCCTCTGCCCACCCCCCACCCACAAGCACGGTGTTGTCAAATCATCTCAGTGGCACGCTCCTAGCCTCATGGGGCAAACTCCCGTCGCCCCAGCACCTGGTGCTTCCTCCGCCCCTTTGACCTCCATCTCCGACCCGCCCCCTTCCCCACGCTACACCCTCCCTGCCCCTCACCCCCACCAGCGAGGTGTCGGCAAATGCTCTCAGCTCAGCGGCACGCTGCCAGCCTCATGGAGCAAACCCGCGTCGCTCAGGCAGCTGGGGCTTCCCTACCCCATCCCCCTTCCCTGACCCCTGTGCGCCCCCTGCCCCTTCCTGCCCCCTCCTGTTCCCTCCTGCCCCCTCCTGCCCCCTCCTGCCCCCTTCCCTGCCCCCTCGTGCCCACACATCAGCAAGGTGTCGGTGAATTCTCTCAGCGGCTCGCTGCCAGCCTCGTGGAGCAAGCTCTCGGCGCTCAGGCAGCTGGCGGCTTCCAGCAACAACATCACAGGGCCCTTCCCCGCCTTCCTGCTCTCGCTACCGAGTATTGAGGAGATGTGAGTGGTTGGAGGGACCAGGGGAGAGGAGTGTGAGTGGTTTAGAGCTCACCTCTTGTCGCTCAGGCAGCTGGCAGCCGCCAGCAACAACATCACAGTGCCCTTCCCCTCCTTCCTGCTCTCACTGCCCAACATAGAGGAGATGTGGGTGGTTGCAGCGAATGGGGGAAGGGGGGTGTTTGGGCTGCTGCTGCTGCCGTTGCCGCTGCCGCCCCCACTGCCACTGCTGCTGCTGCCGCTGCTGCTGCTGCTGCTGCTGCCGCCGCCGCCGCCGCTGCTGCTGCTGCTGCTGCTGCTGCCGTTGCCGCTGCCGCCCCCACTGCCGCTGCTGCTGCTGCTGCTGCCGCTGCCGCCGCCGCCGCCGCCGCCACCGCTGCGACGATACTCGTTGCTACTGCAGGGGGGAATCTTACCGCTATTCCACACATGCCACCCTTCTGTCGTCCCTCACCATACCTCTGCCTGCATTTCTTCCTGCCTGCCTATGTGCTTCTCCCCCTGCATGCCTGTCTCGCTGCATGCCTGTCTCTCTGCATGCCTGCCTGCCCGCCTGCCTGTCGTCCCGTCTGCCTGTGCATTGCCGCAGCACCCTGAACAGCAACAGCATGTATGGTCCAGTGCCGCCCAACATCACCATCTCTCCCAGCGTCACGACCCTGTGAGTGAGCTTAGCAGCGTCACGACCCTGTGAGTGAGCTTAGCAGCGTCACGACCCTGTCAGTGAGCTTAGCAGCGTCACGACCCTGTCAGTGAGCTTAGCAGCGTCACAAGCCTGTGAGTGACCCCACCGTGACAACCATGCCATGCCATGCCATACCGTGCCATGCCACGCTAACCACACACCCTGGTATGATCTCATCTCCCCAATGGATACCTCCCCATACACCTTTACGTACTGATTACCCAAATGGATACCTTCCCATACCCCCCATACGCCTGTATTGATATCGCCCAATGGATACCTCCCCTCCCCATACACCTGTCGTGTCGTGTATTGATCGCAGGGACATCGGGCTCAACTACTTCAACGGCTCCGTCCCGCCTGCTCTGGACCAGCCAGGCTTCATGTGAGTCACATGGGCATGTCACCTGGGCATGTCACATGGGCATGTCACCTGGGCATGTCACATGGGCACGTCACCTGGGCATGTCACCTGGGCATGTCACATGGGCATGTCACCTGGGCATGTCACATGGGCATTGATATCTCCCCAGGGACTTCGGCTGAACTATTCCAATTTTCAACGGCTCTGTGCCGCCCGCTCTGGACCAGCCCGGCTTCTTGTGAGTCCATGCAGGCAGCCGGGTGGTCACGCAATCAGGCAAGAGCAACAAGGTTATCAGGCAATCAGGTAGTTGGTAACCAGGTAACCAGATTACTGATGGTAGGGATGGTTAGGTAAGCTGGTAGCGGGAAAGGTGTCGATGGACCGTACCATAGGCCTCGTGTTTTGATTGTTTGAGTTGAGTGTTTGAGTGTATGAGTTGAGTGTTTGAGTGTATGAGTTGAGTGTTTGAGTGTATGAGTTAGGCTGTGGTCAGTTCGTATGTCTTCGGTGCGTTCTCTGCGGTTTTATTTGGTTGGTTGTGTCTCGGTGCGAAATGGTAAACCTCGAAACCGCTTTCCACCTTGTGGAACCGTCATGAGCCAGGGAGCATGTGCTGTGAACGTGTGACGTGACTTGACCACGCCCACACCACGCCTTGTGCTCAGCCTTGTGCTCAGCCTTGTGTGGCCGTCTCTTCTGTTGCCCTGATGTCACCCCAAGCAAGTGTCATGTTAGAGCTATCACGCCTTCTTCTGAGCTGCCGTCCATCCTGCTGCTGTCTTCATGTCACTGCTCTAGCTCCCCTCTCCTGGCATAAAATGCCTTCCCTAATTCGTTCCCACTTCCCTCCCTGGGCCAACCTTGTGCGCCCACATCACACCAAACCACACTCCACCTCACCGCACCACACCATGCTCCACCACACCACCACATCAGCTTCGTGGACAACTGTTTCAATGAGACGGGCAGCACCAATCAGAAGCAGCAGAGCAGCTCCACCTGCACCATCTTCTACAACCTGCTCTACCCCCGACCCCCTCCCGGTACGCCCCCTCCCGGTAAGCTCCCTCCCGGTAAGCCCCCTCCCGGTAAGCCCCCTCCCGGTAAGCCCCCTCCCGGTAAGCCCCCTCTCGGTACGCCCCCTCCCGGTAAGCCCCCTCCCGGTAAGCCCCCTCCCGGTAAGCCCCCTCCCGGTACGCCCCCTCCCGGTACGCCCCCTCCCGGTAATCCCCCTCCCAGTACGCCCCCTCCCGGTAAGCCCCCTCCTAGTACGCCTCCTTATTATTCAGTTCAGAACGAGCGAAGTGACTTTGAGTCGAATCAGAGCAAGGTGACTTGTGAGTGAGTGTGTCGAATCAGAAGCAGCAGAGCAGCACCACCTTCTACAACCTTCTCTACCCCCCGCCCCCGCCCCCTCCCGGTACACCCCTTTCCTTCCCCGTACGCCCCAATTCCTTTTCCGTGTACCCTTTTCCCATATGCTCCCGCCCCTTTTCCATATCCTCCGTCCCCTTCCCATATCCTCCGTTCCCTTCCCATATCCTCCGTCCCCTTCCCATATGCTCCGTCCCCTTCCCATATGCTCCGTCCCCTTCCCCAATCCTCCGTCCCCTTCCCATATGCTCCGTCCCCTTCCCATATGCTCCATCCCCTTCCCATATGCTCCGTCCCCTTCCCATATGCTCCGTCCCCTTCCCATATGCTCCGTCCCCTTCCCATATGCTCCGTCCCCTTCCCCAATCCTCCGTCCCCTTCCCAAATCCTCCGTCCCCTTCCCATATGCTCCGTCCCCTTCCCATATGCTCCATCCCCTTCCCATATGCTCCGTTCCCTTCCCATATGCTCCGTCCCCTTCCCATATGCTCCGTCCCCTTCCCATATGCTCCTGTTAGAAGTGAACCATTGACTTGATTAGGAATGATACGGGCTTACATAGTTGAAGCTAGGGGAGGGGGGGTTGGTTGGGTACCTAGTCAACATTATTGGCCCCCGACCAATAAGTTGGGTTGGAGAATTATTGGGGTGTCCCAATAATGTTGGCCAAAGGTGGGCCAACATTATTGGGGGGGCCAATAATCTCCCAACCCAACCTTGGAGGCCAATAATTGGACCAAGGTTGGGTTCCAACCCCCAACTAGGGTTAACCCTAGTTGTGCACCCAAACATAGTTTGGGTGCCTATCTCTGTCCTAGGGTTTATAGGATCAATGCAGGATACAGAAGAGTAGTATAATCTAGCAGCTCCGTCCCCTTCCCATATGCCGCTGCTGCTGCTGCTGTTGATGGGGCTAAACTCTCTTGCTTCCCTTCACGCCCTTCTGCAGCCCCACCATCCCAGGCGGTGGTAATGCTTCCGTCCTCTGGTGGCGGCGTGCTGCTGCCGGTGCTGCTTCTCCTAACCTCTTTTGCTCCCCTTCCCTCCCCTCGCCTCTGCAGGCCCACCAGTCCAGGAGGTGGTAACAGTGCCATCCTCGTCCTTCCCAATAGCAGCGGTGGTGGTGCCGGTCGTGGTGGTGGTGCTAGTGCTGCTGCTCGCTGTCTTCCTCTGGCGGCGCTGGCGCTCTGAAAGGCTCGCACGCATGCTGCGCAAGGAGATTGGCAGTGAGTGGGGAGGGGAGGAGGGGGGCGGAGGGGGTTGGTAAGCTGGGAGCGAGTGGGGGGGAGTACAGTAAAGTAAGGGTATTGAGGTGGGAGGGGGGATGTGGGAGGAGAGAGGGGGGGATGTGTGGGAGAGAGAGTGTGGAGGGTGGTGTCTGCTTGTGTGCGGTAAGGGTTGAGTGATCATGCTGATTGCTCCGCCTGCCACCCTGTGCTGTGCTGTGCCCATTTCCTTCGCCTTTCGGCACTGCAGGCAGCTCACGCGTATTCTCCCTGGCGGAGCTACGGCGGGCCACCAAGGAGTGGCAGGCGGAGGGGGGGGGGGGAGCCCTTTGGTGCCTTGGTGTCGTTTCCAGCTCACCCCCACACCCACTTGCCTCGTTCACGCGCTGCATGTCCACCCTGCAGGCAGCTCGCGAGTCTTCTCCCTGGCGGAGCTATGGTGGGCCACAAAGGACTGGCAGGCGGAGACACGGTTTGTTTGTTTGTTTGTCTTCTCACGGTTTGTTTGTGGTGCCTCCTTGCTCTCTTCAGCTCACCTCACACGTGCCTATGTCATTGCCTGTCACCCCCTTGCGCCTTCTGCACTGCAGACAGCTCATTCTCTCTCGCAGAGCTACGGCGGGCCACCAAGGAGTGGCAGGCAGGAAGGGGCACAAGCAGAGTCACTTCCACTTCCCCGACTCTTTTCTCCCCCTCCCTTCCTCCTCTAATGGATTGCAGGCAGCTCTCGCGTCTTCTTCGTAACGGAGCTGCGGTGGGTCACCAAGGAGTGGCAATGGTTGGCGGTGCCTGCTTGCTGTCCTTATGGCACTCCCCTGACACATGCACGTTCACCTGTCTCCCCATTTCTCCCCTTTTTCACTGCAGGCAGCTCACGCGTATTCTCCCTGGCGGAGCTGCGGCGGGCCACCAAGGAGTGGCAGGCGGAGATCGGGCGGGGCGGGTATGGCAGCGTGTACAAGGCGGTGCTCAAGGACAAGACGGTGGTGGCCGTGAAGCGGCTGGACGTGGTGAGAAGGAGTGGGGCGGAATGGGAGGGAGCAAGAGGGAGTGAGACGGAGTGAGGGTGTGAGTGATAGTGAGGTCGGGCGGGGCGGGTATGGCAGCGTGTACAAGGCCGTGCTGAGAGACAAGACGGTGGTGGCTGTGAAGCGGCTGGATGTGGTGGGTGGGAGAGAGTGAGAGGGGGTGAGAGGGAGTGAGAGGGGGTGAGAGGGAGTGAGAGGGGGTGAGAGGGAGTGAGAGGGGGTGAGAGGGAGTGAGAAGTCCAGTGCCACCTGGTGAATTTCCAGAGCCTCTGTCTTCTAGCGCACCCCCATCCATGCGCCCTCCCCATCTCAGGTGTCAGACCAGACCAGGGCGACAGGGAGTTCTTCGGGAGGTGTTGTCACTGCCACCTGGTGAATCGCCTGGTCACCTCCGTCTGATTTCCCCCCCCTCCCCCTCTCAGGTGTCGGACCAGGGCGACAGGGAGTTCATTCGCGAGGTGGAGCTGCTCTCACGCGTGCACCACCGGCACCTGGTGAATCTCCTGGGCTTCTGTGCGGAGAAGGAGGAGCGTGCGCTCGTGTACGAGTACATGGGGCTGGGGTCGCTGTTCGACCACTTGCACGGTGAGAGCTTGGGCTGGGCTGAGAGGTGCTGGGGCTGGGTGCAGCAGGGTGGGATGGGATGGGGTGGGCTGGGAGCTTGGGCTGGGCTGAGAGGGTACGTGTGGGTGCAGTAGGGTGGGTGTGTGTGTGTGTGTGTGTGTGTGTGTGAAAGCATGGTGGGTGGGAGGATGGGGTTCGTGATGACTGTGTGTATGGCTGTATAAGAACGGATGGAAACATCTGGTGCATCGGACGGATTGGATGGCGAATTCCCCTCTCCTCTCCCAGGCCCGCACGCCAAAGAGACTCCCGTCTCATGGGACTCACGCATCAAGATCGCCATCCACGTGGTTCTCCTGCTGTTGCCCCTTCCTCGCCCCCCCCACCGCACTCTCCTCTCCCCACCTTTCTCCCAGGCCCGCACGCCAAGGAAACTCCCCTGTCATGGGACTCACGCATCAAGATCGCCATCCACGTGGCGCTCGGCATTGACTATCTGCACTACGGCGCCGACCCGCCTCTCATCCACCGGTGAGACCGTGGGGCAGGGGGGCAGGCGGGGCAGGGGGGCAGGGGGGCAGGGGGGGCAGGGGGGCAGGGGGGCAGGAGGGCAGGGGCGCAGGGGGGCAGGGGCGCAGGGGGGGCTGGTCTTCCCACCATTCACTGGTAAGGAATTGAATGTTCCCCACCCCTTTGTGTCGCACCTCTGATTCCCATCCTTGTCCGATTCCCATCCTTGTCCGATTCCCATCCTTGTCCGATTCCCATCCTTGTCCGATTCCCATCCTTGTCCGATTCCCATCCTTGTCCGATTCCCATCCGCGTGTCGCACCTCCGATTCCCATGCCGCTCCGGTCTTGCCAAGGAGCTGCCTGCCTAAGCCCCTCTTCCCTCTGCCGTCCCCCTCATCTTTCCCCCATTTGCTTTACCCCAGCGACATCAAGTCAGGCAACATCCTGCTCTCAGAGGACGGTCTAGCCAAGGTAGCAGACCTTGGTCTGTGCAAGGAGGTGCCGGTGGACGTGACGCCAGAGGGCCAGCCTCCTCTCACCACCCCCCCCCCCCCCCTCTCTCCCTCCCCCCCCCCAGCGATATCAAATCAGGCAACATTCTCCTGTCTGAAGATGGCTTAGCAAAGGTAGCAGACTTCGGGCTGTGCAAGGAGGTGCCGGTGGATGTGACGCCGGAAGGCCAGCCGCAGCTGCTGCCGCCCACCACGGCGGTGCGGGGGTCGTTTGGGTACCTGGATCCCGAGTATGTGAGCACGTCGCTGCTCACCGACAAGAGCGACGTGTACAGCTATGGCGTCGTGCTGCTGGAATTACTCAGTGGCAAGTATGCCATTCACGAGAAGCAGCCTCTCGCATACTGGGTGAGTGGGAACACATGACGTTACGTTATTGGTTGGTCCCCACTAATAACGCCAAGGAAACCCCTCTCTCATGGGATTCGCGCCATCCTCACCGCCTCCTCACCTCACCGCCTCCTCACCTCACCGCCTCCTCACCTCACCACGCCCGTCCCCATCTGCCTTCCCATGCGCGAGCTGCACTCCTCACTGTTCACTGTGTCCATCTATCCTCCCTAGTATGCTTGCCCTGTTGCTTCTGTCTTTGTGCCTCCAATACCTCTGTTCCTCTGCCTGTGTTGTTCCTCTGCCTGTGTTGTTCCTCTGCCTGTGTTGTTCCTCTGCCTGTGCTGTTCCTCTGCCTGTGCTGTTCCTCTGCCTGTGTTGTTCCTCTGCCTGTGCTGTTCCTCTGCCTGTGCTGTTCCTCTGCCTGTGTTGTTCCTCTGCCTGTGCTGTTCCTCTGCCTGTGTTGTTCCTCTGTCTGTGTTGTTCCTCTGCCTGTGTTGTTCCTCTGCCTGTGTTGTTCCTCTGCCTGTGTTGTTCCTCTGCCTGTGTTGTTCCTCTGCCTGTGTTGTTCCTCTGCCTGTGTTGTTCCTCTGCCTGTGCTGTTCCTCTGCCTGTATTGTTCCTCTGCCTGTGTTGTTCCTCTGCCTGTGTTGTTCCTCTGCCTGTGTTGTTCCTCTGCCTGTGTTGTTCCTCTGCCTGTGCTGTTCCTCTGCCTGTGTTGTTCCTCTGCCTGTGTTGTTCCTCTGCCTGTGTTGTTCCTCTGCCTGTGCTGTTCCTCTGCCTGTGCTGTTCCTCTGCCTGTGTTGTTCCTCTGCCTGTGCTGTTCCTCTGCCTGTGCTGTTCCTCTGCCTGTGTTGTTCCTCTGCCTGTGCTGTTCCTCTGCCTGTGTTGTTCCTCTGCCTGTGCTGTTCCTCTGCCTGTGCTGTTCCTCTGCCTGTGTTGTTCCTCTGCCTGTGCTGTTCCTCTGCCTGTGCTGTTCCTCTGCCTGTGCTGTTCCTCTGCCTGTGCTGTTCCTCTGCCTGTGGTGTTCCTCTGCCTGTTCTGTTCCTCTGCCTGTGCTGTTCCTCTGCCTGTGCTGTTCCTCTGCCTGTGGTTGTTCCGCTGGCTGTGCCTCCCAATCCCCTCCCCCACCCTTCTCTCCCCCTTGTATGTGCCTCCCAATCCACCAGGCAGAGGAGTACCTAACAGACAGCGAGCGCCTGGGGGAGCTGCTGGGCCTGTCTGAAGCCAATAGCCTTTCCACCCGCCTGCCGTGTCTGTTGCCTTGTATTGTGCCCGTGCCACCCACCAGGCGGAGGAGTATCTGATGGACAGCGAGCGCCTGGTGGAGCTGCTGGACCCGGCGCTGGGCAGCGACTACGACCTGCATGAGGCGCAGATTCTGTGTGACATCGCCAGGAGCTGCGTGCAGGTGAGAGTAGCATGTGTGCCAGTGAGAGGGTAGCGTGCTTGTTGTGCGGGTGAGAGCAGCATGTGTGTGTATAGATAGAGTCACGGGCAGCGACTACGACCTGCATGAGGCGCAGATTCTGTGTGACATCGCCAGGAGCTGCATGCAGGTGAGCAGCAGATTCCACCCTTGAATTCCACCCTTGAATTCCACCCTTGAATTCCACCCTTGAATTCCACCCTTGAATCTGGCACTCATTCTGATGCCACACTCAATCTCTCGGCCTCTTCCCCCTTTCCATCCCCCACCTCTCCCCCCATTCCCCCCACCCCTCCGTACCGCGCAGGACCGTTCGGCGGACCGGCCAGCCATCAGGGACGTGGCGCAGGCGCTGGTGGAGCATCTGGGGCGCGTGGTGGTGATGGCCTCCTCCACCGCCTCCTCCGAGTACAGCTATGGCTACTCCTATGATGACTATGGCTCGCAGCAGCCTTTCTTTTCGGGCAGCCTGCCCGACACCTCAGGCAGCTACACGGGGGATTCGCCAGGGAATCCGGTTGCTGGTGGTGGTGCGAATGGTGGTGCGGGTGGGAAGGCGGGGAATGGTGGGACGGGGGATGGGTTCACGTTTCGGAATTGCCAGTCACAGCCAATCATCATCGCGCGTGCGGGTGGGGGAGTGGAGGGGAGTGGGGAGGACGGGGGAGGGGAGGGGGATGGGGGAGCGGGGAGTGTGCAGATGTCAACGGGTGTGCATGGCAACAGGCCTCCTGTGCCCATTGGGGCGCATGAGGGCACGGTGTGAGGGGCCTTTAGGGACATTCCTTCCTTCCATGTGACGTGTGCTATGGGGGGTCGATGTTTGTTACAGTAGGGTTTAGTGCAGGGGAAGGTGTAGAAAGGGGCTTCGTTTGTGGTGTTGTGAAATAAGGCTGGGTGTGCCACCCGCAGGCCAAATGGTGCAATTCTGATGTGATGTGAATGTGTCAAAATGTGTTTGCATACAATTTGTGCAACTGCTGTAGTGTAGTTATATAAATCACCTCCTGTAGGTAGTGAACTTCCTGTAATCATATTATTCACCTCCTGCTTCTCTTTGCCTTGTTTCCCAAACCCTATAGTGAAGTGAAACACCTCCTTCCTTCATTTTCCCCTCGCCAACTTTCCTCCTGCCATGGATCTCCTTGTCAAAGTACCAGGGCATATTTTTGGATTTTAGGTACTCTGATTTCCAGAGTAGTTTTTTTCCCAACTCTGAAATCTAGGGTTGTTCCAGCGCCTTACTCTGATTTGTCAGAGTAACCCTATACTTAAAAAAAAAAACCCAGGCACGTCAGAGTAATATTTTTCTCTACTCTGATGTTAGTTAAGTTTGGTGTACCATGACCTTAATAGGTTTTTGTTACGGCTTTTGTACTTGCATTTCCGCGTCGCCCACGTTTCCCCCCTCACTGCGATGTTTCAGAGTGAGGTGTTGGCGGCACCGATAATCTGACTAAGGGCGTGTCCGAAGTGAAACGTCAATAGATGTCGCTGGATGTCGGTAAATGTCATCCCTCGGATCGACAGTTCCAACCGTCAGGATTTACCGACATCCCCAAACGGATGTCCACGGATGTCGACGTTTCACTTCGGACACCCCCAAAGAGCGTGTCTGAAGTGAAATGTCGACGGATGTACAGTTTCGTCGGGGAATGCTGGCGAATCTCAACCCTCGGATTGAGCGTTCCGACCGTCAGGATTCCTCGACGTCCCTCAAAGTTTCGTCGGGAAACGTCGACGTTCACTTCAGACATAAAGAGAGAGGGGACTGGCTGGCATCGTGCGCTGGTTGGGAAAGTTGTCAAACTACGGTAGCCAATCAGTGCTCATATTGCCGCCAACACACGACAGAAATCAGGAGAATGATATCGACGATTCGGGGAAAACCCGCTAAACGCAGGGGGAGGTGGGGAGGGGAGGGGGGCGGGGGAGGGGGGGCCGGCAGGTATTCCCTATACAGAGTAAATTCGGTCCCCGAAAAAAAAACCCAGAGGCCTCAGAGTAAACTACAGCATAACTCTGACAAATCAGAGAAATCGGAAGTCCCAAAAAAATTACCCAGCGGGTACAGAGTTACTTTCAAAAATGACTCTGATTTTCAGAGAAACAGAGTAATTTACTCTGAAAACGTGAGGCCTGCAAAGTACTGTACGTACACCGAAATGAGCATGACTAGCAAGAGATGGGTACATATCGTTGGAAACATATAGTTCGCGCTTCTAATGTGTCGAGCACTACAACGAAAGCGAAGCGAACTAAAGTGAAGCAACAGCGAGTCAATCAAAGCGGTTGACAGAAAGACAACAGCAAGAGGTTGAGTGAAGGTCAAAGGTCAGCGACCTTTGACTCGCCGAAGGCAGCGCGGCAGCAAGGACACATAGCTAACTCGATACTGAGCAGTTACCCGAGTCGTCGCTGTATCGAACCGCAACAGCAGTTACAGTTAGTTAAACCTTTCGTATTCCTTGTAATCATATTAAAGCTTGTATCTCTTTGTTATTATCAAGTTATCTTGTTCTCACATACTAGTGCAAGGTGGTTCAATCAGTTCACTAATACGCTTCCGCTAAAACATCACTACTCTAAGCCTTTAGTCTTGAAAAACGATCCTAAGGGCTTTTCTCAGCCCAACATGGTATGAGAGCTAGCAAGAAAAAAAGACAACAGTGTTCAAGCTCCTACAACAATGGAAGGCATGGCTACGCAGAAAGAGAGAAGCTCGGCTCGTCTACTGGATCTCCAAGTAACTCCTACTCCACCACCAGCCTTTGGATTACAGACAGAGAGAGGCACAACCCAAGTACCAGCTGCTGAGCCTACTGAAACTCCAGCCAGTCAAGCTACCGGCTTCGACCCAAGCATGATGGAGAAGTTCTTCTCCTTCATGTCGCTCTACGAGCAACACCAACAAGCAGAACCTGCGCAGTCAAACAACAGCGATAACAACAACGGAGTCACTCCCATGAGCCTCGACGGTTCATCATTTGCGCGCGGAAATCAGCAGCCTACCTTTGCACCGTATGAGCATCAACGCGGCTCTGTCAGCTTCATGCCGAATCGACTCTGGACGAGAAACGAAGACACTGGACGCACTTCAGTTGCAGTCACAGTTTGCGAACGTTCTGAAACTGCAAACAACAACGCCATTCGACGGCAAAGATTTCTATACCTGGTCCTTTGAGTTCGAGCTTATGATGGAGGGCGCCCAAATCCTTGGCTTCTTCGACGGTTCCCTGCCATATCCAACGCATGGGACATAGTACGACAAGCAGCAGTACACGTATCAGTCACTCATGGTGTACACCATCCTCCTGCGAAACCTAACGCCAAACGAGCAGAAGAACATGCGGTCTTATCGCGGATACGGTAACTCCGCCAAGCTCGCATACAACCACCTGAAGAATCTGTACCAAGCAACCGACAGCGTTAATCAAAGTCGTCTCATGGCGCAATTGACAACAATTCAAATGCAACCGAGCGAAAAGGGGATGGCATATATCAGTCGCTGTCGCGGATTGCGCGATAGACTCCTTCGATGCGGCGGATCAATATCCGAAGAAGCGTTCGTCACTGTCGTCATCACATGCCTCGGTCCTCAGTGGCGCTCCACTCGAGCTATTCTCTGAGCTCACGGAAGAATCTCCGAAGCAAACCTCTGCGCTGAAATCTACGCCGAGCAACAGGACATGGACCTACACGGAGTTCGCATTTCACATTCAGCGGCGCAACAACAACAACCGACAACACGAGCACCAAGCACGAAGATACGTACCACCGTTCTGTCATCTCTGTAAAACGTCAGGACACTCTCACATTCACTGCCCAAATGAACAGCAATCAACACCACCACCACGCCAGCTTCGACCTTCAAGCAGTCAGGTGGCTTCCACACAGCCACATCCTTCCAACCAGGCGCCGCCTTCAACGACGACGTCCAACCTGCACGAGGAACAAGAAATATCATAAGTTGCATGACAAGAACAGACTCTTGCATCACCGGATCACCACCGACCTACTCACCAGAAGAACTGCTCGACGAAAGCACGCCTCGTCGCGAATCACTGGAACCAAATCCGACGTACGCAGCTATCGCACAGAGCGAACCATCCGGTCAAGACACTTGGTTCCAGGACAGCTGTTGCGGACAACATATGTGCTCATCAAACCGCTTCGTCCAACGGGAACAACGCCTCAACCGAGATGTTGTGATCACCGTCGCCAACAACCAAAACCTGCGCACATGACGACAATGAGTAGTTCAACTTCAGTCCCGCGAGACCAACGTCGTCTTACAAATGTCGTAGGTTTTAAATGCAGAAGGACTGGGCTACAACTTACTCATCGTCAGCCAGCTCATGGCAAAAGGAATTCATCTTGAAGCCGACAGCACCACTCAGGAATTCAGACTTTACATTGGAAGAGCAATCCTGAACAACAACGTCTTCGTCCTTGACTTCGTCCCAGATCAAGGAACCGCATACAGCGACGCGATTGTTATCTTCACCACTTGGTCGCACACACCAGATCTCGACCCCGACTTCAGCTTCGGAGGATTCTGGTACTCGCACACCATACCTGAAGCAGAACGAACAAGGGCGTTAGCGGTGATCCAAGAGACATTGGGAGAAGCATCAACATCGGTAGTAGGAGAGACAACAGCAGCAGAGACAGCAACAGCAGAGACAACAGCAGCAGAGACAACAGCAGCGAAGACATCAGCAGAAGCAGCGGCAACGGCAGCAGCAGCGGCAACGGCAGCAGCAGCGACAACGGGAGCAGCAGCGGCAACATCGGCAGAAGCAGAGACAAAGACACCATCATCAATACCCGCTCAGCAGCTGACTCCTGCCCCACGCAACGTTCACCGAAGCGCCAACATCACTGCCAGTTTTTACTCCAACTCCGATCTGTACAGACGTTCACCTGGACATCGCGCTGACGAATCATTATGGCATCAAAGGTTAGGGCATCCTAGCAACACAACACTGAACAACACGATAAGAGCAGGAGTGCTCGATAAAGACTCACTACTCCTACCCGACGGCAGAGAACTTCAACGAGTCCGCGGAACCTGCTTTACCTGCCCTGAAGCCGACTTACCCCATCAGCCGTTTGTCTCTCTTCACAACCCAAGCGCGCTAGCCTATGCACCGCTGGAGAAGGTTTACAGCAACATACTGTACGCCCGCGAAAGCGGACAAGGAGCCTACAACTATGTCATCACCTTCATCGACGCCGCCACTAGATACGTTTGGCACCTCAATCTTCCGAGTCGCGACATGGCCCTCGAAGCCTTCGTCGCATGGCTTCCAGTAGGAGAAAGGGAATCAGGAGTGAAGCTGAAAAGCTTCCAGTCAGACGGGGGAGGAGAATATCAGTCACAACGGTTCAAGCAGTACATGGCGGAGAGGGGCATCAAGCGACTCATCTCTCTTCCCTACGCTCATCAGCAGCAAGGCGTGGCAGAAAGAATGAGCAGGACCCTCCAGAACACCATGCGCAAGCTGCTACGTGGCATGCGGCTACCCAACCATCAGTGGCCTGAGGTGATGGACCACGCTGTGCTGTTGTACAACTTGCTTTCGTCATCCTCGCTTCCGAACAACGCATCACCGCATCTGCTGTGGACAGGAAAATTGGGCAACACAAAAATGTTACGGGTTTTTGGCTGCATGGCACAGTACCAACCACACACTGCACGAGCCGGAAGATTCTCACAACGCGCACAGTGAAAAACACTACAACGCATAGAAAATCTTCGAC